CAGGGGGCAAAAAAGAAAACTAGTAAAGCAAAACTGCCTATTGTTTGCCTTTGGAAAGCGGCTCCGCCTTTGTTTCGGGCGGGTGCTTTGATTTGCAGGCGTTCAGGGGGAGGCCGGTCTGCAGAGCGACAGACCCTGGGCCGAGCCCGGGGACGCCGAGGAGACGCGGGGATGGCCCGGCGCGCTGGGTCCCTGCCTGGGGCTGACCCCCCATACTGCCCGCTCCCTGATCTCCCCCACTTGATGTCGCGGCCCCTAAGATTTCTGGTCCCCTCTCTGCCTCTCCCGTCCCAGACAGGGCCAGCAGAGAACGCTGAGGGAGACCAGAAACCCGGTCACGCCCTAGAATCCTGGTGGACCAGGGAAACAGCCCACCCCCAAAAAACAGTCGAGGGAAATGTAGCTGTTGCCTAAACAAACCCGCCCCCAGCAGCTTGTTTATATGAAGCTGTGCGTGTCTGGGGCCGCGGTGTGCGTGTCGCTGTGTGTGGGTCGGGGGAAGGCACATGATCGTCTCTGAGGCCGTTTGTGCAGAATTTTCCTCTGCGGATTCGGCTTAGTTTGTTTTTAATAAGGGTCAGAGGTCTGGACGTCCGTGGGGAAGGGGGCAGGGTCACCTCGGACGGCCAGGCTAGGAGGTCCCAGGAGGACCGGTCACGAGGCCTGGGCTGTTGGCCGAGAGCAGCAGCCAGGGCCGCCCCATCTGGCAGTGGTCCTGGCAGGCAGGCAGGCAGGCAGGGAGGGCCAGTTCTGCACGCTGCTCCCTGAGGTGGCCCCAGAGAGGACCCAGGGCTGGGACCTCTCCTCCTGCGTAGGGTAGCTGTTATTTCCCGGCGCTGGCCTGGCCACACTGGCCGTCCACGGGAGAAGCCAGAAGAACAGCTCGGCCTCTGGGGCTCTTTGCAAGGGAGAGGGAGGCTTTTGTGTTCTGTTCAGGGCGGGCTTAAGCTTGCAGCCTGCAGGCGGCCAGGCAGGCTGTGCGGGAGGAAGGGGGACAGGCCTCCCCCAGCCGCTGGCCGTCCCTGCCTTGGCCTGTGCAGGCCACACAGCATGCCCAGCGCTCAGGAGGAAGGCAGCGGCCCTGGAGGAGCTTCCACCTCCCTCCTGTGTCTCTTCGGAGGTGTGGGAGGGGAAGCTTGTCCTAGATCCAGAAGACTTTGGGTCCACCATTGCAGCCTTGCTGTCCAAGCTGGGGACACAGGAAGAGAGGAGCCTAGCGCAGTTGCTACATCAAGAGAAGCCCCAGCTGGGGCATGGTGGCACATGCGTGGAATCCCAGCTCTTGGGAGGCTCAGGAAATCCTCCTGCCTCGGCCTTCTGTGTGCTGGGATTTCAGGCTGCACCACCATGTCCGGCGTGTATGTTTCTTTCCTTTGACCCTCAAAACCACCCAGAGAGGCCGATACCACGACGATCCCAATGTCGCAGGTCAAGCGACAGCGCCCTGGAGAAGTGGGCAGTGGCCAGAGTCAACTGTGGCTCACCTGAGAGCAAGCGTGGTGCTGTCTGCCAGTCCCTCCCTCCTGTCCTCCGCTTCCTGGAGGCTCCAGCCCCGGCCTTCCTTTGTGCCCTGGGGGAACCTCACTCAGGGCTGCCCCTCAGGCCTCCTCTGCCCCCTGCCACCTGCTGGGCCCACCCTGCAGCTCAGGACACTTCTGCCTCCCTTTGTGCCTTCTGGCCGGCCAAGGAAGGCTTGGGGTCCCTCGCGCTCTCCGGCAGCAGGCGTGTGCCATCCAGATGGTGCAGTTAATCGCGCTGGAAGTGTAAATCATCACTGCCGTCCCAGCTCCCTCCTGTGCTGTCCCCTCCACCGCCAGGCTTTGTTCCCACCCCCAGCCAGCCAGGCAGGAAGTGGCCTGGGTGTGGCGCCCACCACCCGGTTTGAATCCAAGCTTGGTCTGCCTGACTCGGGCTCCCTGCGATCCCGTTTTCTCATCCGCACAATGGGGACTCTCCTGGCACCTGCCATTCCCAAGGGCAGTGGGGCGTGTGTGTGGTACTGGGCGATGAGCTGCATCCCCAGCCCTTTATTTTTGTTTTGAGACAGGGTCCTGCTAAGTTGCCCTCCAGGCTGGACTTGAAATTGCAGTCCTCCTGTCTGGACCTCCCAGAGTGCTGGGACGGTCATGCGCGCTTGGGGCTGCGGTGCCTTGGCTCACGAATCCTCAGGCAAACCACTGCCCTCTTTCACTCTGAGGAAGCTTTGACTCAGAGAGGGCAGTACACTACCCAAGGCCACACAGCCAATTAGCACAGGAAAGGATGAAACCGGCAGGCCTCCCTCCTGGGGCCCCTGAGCGGCTCTCTGTCTGGATTGCGGTGACAGCAGAGGTGGCGTTGTTAGCCCTGCCAGAGTGGCTCCCTGGTAACCCGGGTCGGAGAGGCGCAGAGCTAATAGGGCTTTAATCAGGCTGGCGGAGGCCTCCGCGGCTTCCCAGGGCCGGGGCCAAGGCCCAGGTGCAGCAGTCTCGTCCTAATGAAGACACAGAGGGGCGGGAGGGGACGTGGCACGGCCACCTGCTCCCGCTCCGACTCCTCCTCACCCACCCTGGCTCAGTCACCAGAGCCTCTGGTTGCAGGGGACAGCCCATCTGCCTGTTCTCCTATCCGCCTGTCTGTCTGCCCGTCCCTCTGTCCATCCATCCATCCCACCACCTGCCACCCTCTGTCCCTCCCTCACACGGGTCCCCAGGGTCCTCCCTTTGAAGGGCTCACATTCTTAAAGAGACACCACATAAACAACTAGCAACCAGTGCCAGGGCCCTAGAGAAGCAAGCACAGCTCAGGAGCCCTGAGACCAGGATCTGCAGAGCTGCCCATGGGTCACCGTGGGTGGTCATCTCTCCTCTGGGCCTGTGGCAGCAGATCTCTACAAAGAAAGGTGTCTTCATATATTTAGGCTGCTGTCATGAAATGCCTTAGCCTGGGTCATTTATAAACCACAGAATTATTTGTTTTGAGACAAGCTCTTGCTTTGTAGCGCAGGCTGGCCTTCAACTCCCAGTCATCCCCATGCCTCAGCCCCCAGCATGCTGGGATGACAGACATGCGCTTCCACGCCTGCTTTAAACCGTAGAAATTTAGCATGCACTGTTCTGGAGGCTGGGAAGTCCAAGGTCAAGACGCCAGCAGACTCTGTGTCAGGGCAGGGAGGGCCTGCAGCCCTCAGATGGCCCCTTCTAGCTGTGTCCTGTGTGGTGGGAGGGGCCCAGATCCCCGGTATGAAGGTGGAGCCCACTGCTGGGTCACCTCTTAGTACGGCGACATTGCTGATCCTATTTCACCCTCCAGGTTCCGGGGATGCGCTCAGACCAGGTGTCATTGCCAGCTGGGGATATGGCACCTCCCCCACAGGTGGCGGTGGGGCTTGGTGAGGTCGCTGATGCTAGGTAAGACCAGGTGCTGCAGTGTGGGAGGGTAGTGAGCAGGTGTCACCACATGGCCAGCTCTGCAGAAGGAGGCTGCCCCTGGACTTCTGCAATCCATTAGTCATGTCTGCCCAGATACAGGGAAGGGGCCTAGGCTAGGGCATCCTCTGGCCCTAACCCAGATGAGAGGAAGTCCTTGAACAGAATGACCCCCGTGACTATGGCTGCCAGCTGCAGGACCTCAGGTAAAGCATTGGCCCTCTCCCTGCCTTGTTTTACCCTGTGAGATTTGCTGAATTGGGAGGTCAGAAAGAGTTGGAGCAGGATGGCTCATTTTTTAGCCTGGTGTGGTGACATTTGTCTATAATCCTAGTGCTCTGGGAGGCTGAGGCAGGAGGATTGCTAAATTGCCTGGGCAACTTAGTGAGAGCATCTCAAAATAAAAAATAAAAAAGCACTGGGGATGTAGCTCAGTGTGAAGGCCCTGGGCTCCGTCACCAAAACTGAAAAAAAGAAATCAAAGCAGGGAGGGAGGAAGCGGGGAGAAAAGCCAGCCTGATCTTCTTGGGTATTTTGTTTTTTCCTCCTTTTGCCACCCCCCTGCACATGGAGAAGCCAGGGGACAGGGACAGCTGTGGAGCAGTCTGACACACAGGACTGTGAGCCAGAACGAGTCAGGCAGAGAGCGGTATCAGGGCGTAGGCAGCTCCCTCCCTGAAGGCCCGGGCTCCCCAAGGACCTGCAGTCTGCCCGCCACTGCCAGGGCTCCCATGCAAACACCAGCCTGGTGGGGCTTCCAGCCCCTGAAAAGTCCTTCGGGGCTCCCACTACCCTGCAGGGGACGCAAAACTCCTCCAAGCGGGGGCCCAGGTCCTGCTCTGGCCTCTGTCTACCGTGTGACCCCAGTGACTGGTTGGACCTCTCTGGGCCCAGCGGTGCTAAGGAGAGCCAGCAGCACAGGGCTCTTGGCAGTGAGCAGGGCCCAGGCTGAGGCGGGGACTCTGACCCCGTGCAGACACGGTGGTGTCTTGCTGGGGAAGGAGCCCCGGGCCTCGGAGGCCCCCACGCTCCCTGGGACCGCACTGACTTCCTGTGGGAAACTGCCCTGCCCTAGGAGCTGCGACCTGGGAAGGGCTTCAGCTCTGGGCTCGGCGTGGCCATCAGCACCTGGGGACAATGTCACCTCCCGTGCAGGCAGCGATGGGGCTCTGTGAGCTGGCTGGGGGTGCAGGGCCAGGCGAGGACCAGCCTTCCGGAAGCCCGTCTTCTCTCCCGGTGTGCGGAGGGACTGTCCTCGGCCGGCTGGGGAACTGGGCTGGGGACCCGGGGCTCAGGGCAGGGTGGGAGCCTCCCATCGGCATCCACACCCACCCTGCCGCAGGGAGCAGGGCCGCACTTCCCAGGCGGCATTTCCCTGACAGCTCTGAAAATTAATTGGCCTTTAATGTGGCATAGTATTTATTTTAATTAGCAGAAAATTGAACAATTTTGTAATAAGGATCCGAATTTGGGGTTGTTGGTGTGTGTGTGAGTGTGTGTGTGTGTGTGTGTGTGTGTGAGGGGTGATGAAGCAAAAACAGCATCCACATTCTTTTCATTTTTTTTCTCTTTTTTCAGAGAGGGTTTCGCTGCGTAGTTGAGGCTGGCCTCGAACTCACAGCGATCCTCCAGCCTCAGCCTCCCAAATGCTGGGATTACGGGCATGCGCTACTATGCTGTTGTAAAGCTATGCGTCCATGCCATGAAGCAGGTAGCACCGTGTCACCATCTTACAGAGGAGAAACAGAGGCACAGGGAGGCAGATGTTACCGGGGTTGAGCGAGTGGACCTAGGCCAAGGGCCTGGCGTGGTGTCCAGCATGACTCGTTTGCTGGTGAATGTGAATCTCTACCTTTTCTCCCCAGCTTGTTCTCCTCCTGTGCTTCAAACCCCAGTTCATGCCAGGCGTGGTGGCATACTGTTGCAATCCCGGCACTGGGGAGGCTGAGGCAGGAAGATCGCTGTGAGTTGGAGGCCAGCCTGAACCATATGGCGAGACCCTGTCCCAAAACCCAAGACAAACAGAAAAGCCCAGCTCAGCCCAGGCTTTGTCTACGCCAGGGCTCAGACCAAAGTGACGGGTGTGCCCAGCCCAGCGCCCGTATGTCCACCCTGCCTGGAGCCCTCAGAGCCAGAGCAGATAGGAGACCCAGCAGGCAAGGTCCAGGCTCTGCCAGGGGCGCGGCCATGTCCTGGGAGCCTTCACCCAAGAGCCATGCATGTATTGAGCGCCTGCTGTGTGTGATGCTGGGAAGGAGCCAGCGCTGGTCCCCAGGAAGCCCACGTTGGGGGGGGGGGCTACTCGAGAGCACAGTGGGGGGGGCAGCCAGCCTCAAAGCAGCCGCAAGGAGAAAGAACCCCCCACAACCCCCGCTGCATGGGCACAGGAAGCCAGAGCGGCGGACTGTGCTGGAAGCTGCCCCCTGAGACTTCTCCTGGGCAGGGGAGGAGCCGTGGAAGGCTCTGGAGGGGGACAGATGGGGAGGAGGAGGGAGAGGCTGGGACGGCCCTAGGCGGAGGTCCAGCTGCTGATGGCCACAGCCCGGGCCCCAGCAGAGCGGAGGGACAGAGACGCCGGCTCAGCCGTGGGCCCCGGCTCTGCGGCTCCCAGCGCGGGGCTGGCCCGGCTTCCTGTGCTGCCTCCCTGCTCATCTGTGACACAGAACGTTCTAGAACCTCGGAGGTCTTGGTCCTCCCAGCCTCCCTCCTGGCCTCCCACCGTCCTCCCCTGGGACCTCAGACAAAAGCTCGAGAGGGGGACGGGCGGGCAGAGGCTGCTGCGCAGGGTCTCGGCTCTCAGAACTGCCGTCTCATTGTCCCCCACCCAGGGTGTTCCCACTCCTCGCCCCCCTACACGAACCGTGGCTCTGCGGCGGGGACCCCGGGGCTCGTGGGGTGACTCCATGAGCAGGAGTGTGGCCCGGGCTCCCTTGCTCCTCAGAGCGGCCCCTGCCCATGGGGGGGGCCTGTGTCTGTCTCCTCCTCGCGCTGGAGGCTGTGCAGGGACCCAGCTGGGCTCTTTCTCTGGGCCTTGCAGATGATAGAGAAGGGAGTGAGTGTGTGTGTGCGCGCGTGTGTGTGACAGAGAGAGAGAGAGGCGGAGAGTGCTCAGCGGCCGCCGGAAACCTAATTGTCCTCTGTCTAATCCGTCAGCGGGGACAGCGTGCGGAGCCCCTCCCGGCCTGCTGATAAATGCCCCGTGTGCCAGCACGGCCTTAATTGGTATCAGGACGTGCCAGGTCTCGGTCCGGGCCCTGCCTTCCTTCTCCTCAGGGCCTCAGCCGCTGGGGGCTCACCTGCCACCCCCCAGGTGCAGCAGCGGAGGCCAGGACCCCAGGGAAGGTGGGAGACCAGGAGGACCCTGCCTCACGGTGGCATGTGCTGTGCGCCCAGCCCCTGGTGGCGAAGCCCTCTGCCCACCCCGGCCAGGCCATTCCGTCCTTCCCACAGATGGGGGACCTGGGCCCCCGGTGCCTGCCTGCTCCCAAGGAGCCCCTCCATGGCTGCCGTCCCCAGGAAGTTCAGAGAGGCTTGGCCACCTGCCGGGGCACACAGCTAGCAAGGTGGAGAGGAGCAAAGGGACGTACAAAATGGCCGAGCTCATGAGCTAGACGCTATGGGTCATTCAGGGTGCAAGAGAGAAACGCAGTGCACACACATCGGGATCCTGAATCTGAGGGCCCAAGGACGTGCGTGAATAGCAACCTGGACTGGGCGTGGCGGCGCACACCTGTCACCCCAGCGCGCGGGAGGCTGCGGCAGGGGCATCATCGTGAGTTTGAGGCCAACCTGGGCAAGACCCTGTCTCAAAAACAAAGCAGAACAGACCGAAACACAGCTGTCAAGCTGTCTCCAGGTGAGGGGGCCCTCGGGCTAGGTGTCAGAGGGTCAGGCGGGGCAGAGTGGGGAGGGACAGGGCCACCCCACTGCTCCACCCCTGCCTCAGCCTCCTGAGTGCTGGGATCACAGGCAGGCACCACCAGGCCTGGCTTGGTGGTTTCATTCACCCCTTTGATGGGACTGTTAGTGCTATAGGGGCTGCCAGACCCCGCCGTCTGCCCCCTGATACGCTCTGTGCCCCCTGTCACTCTTCGAAGCAGCGAGAACCTGAGCCCCCAGGGTGCAGGAAGGGGCTCAGGCCCCTATCCTTGGATGGAACAGTCTCCGTGTCCTGCCCAGGAGGGGTTGGGCAGAGGAAGGGTCTCACAGGGACCCCCTCACCGCCCTCTCTCTTTTCCTTCCTTCCTTCCTTCCCGCCCTCCTCCCTCTTTCCCTTCTGCCCTCCCTTCCTTTGTTGTTTTTTTTTTTTGTCTTTTTGAGACAGGGTCTCACTGTGCAGTTCAGGCTGGCCCTGAGCTCACTTTGTAGCCCAGGCTGGTCTCAAACTCGCAATGATCCTCCTGCCTCAGCCTCCCAACTGCTGGGATTACAGGTGTGCACACCATGCCCGGCTTCCTCTCTTTCTTTTCAGACGTGGGGATGGAACACAGGGCTTTTTCACTGATCTACATCCCCAACCATTTTTAATTTTTTGAGACAGGGTCTCACTAAATTTCCTAAACTGGGCTTGAACCCTAGATCTTCCTGTCTCAGCCTCCCAGAGCACCGGGATTATAGCTTTGAATCTCCACACCCAGCTGCCTTCCTTCCCAGGCTTTGGAGGAACCCAGGGCCTTGTGCACGCAAGGCACAAGGCCAGAGCTGCACAGCTGAGCTCTACCCCCAGCCCCCAGAGCCACTTTCATAAAAGTAGAAAATATCCTTATTGATTGGGAATAGAACACATTGTAACAAGTTAATAATAATAAGACCAAAAGGGCAAGTAACAGTGACCCGAAGTCCACACCCTCTCTGTGGCTGTCCTTCCAGGTGTTCCCACCCCTACCGTCTCTCACACGCCAGGGTGCAGATGGCCTCTCCCTGAGCACACCAGGCTGTCTTCCCGGGTCCAGGACGCTGTTCTCCAGCAGCACCCTTCTCCAAAAAGCAGGGATGTCCCAAACTGGGTGTAGTGGCACTGCCTGTCATCACAGCTCTCTGGAAGGCTGAGGCAGGAGGATCACAGGTTCAAGCCCTGCCTGGGCAGTTTAGGAACTTAGTGAGACTCTGTCTCAAAACAAAAAAAACAAAAAGGGCCGGAGATGCAGCTCAGTGTGAAGGTGCACACACAGACACACAAAAGAGGGGACGTCCTACCCCACCAGGGGCTCCAGCCACACTGCCCTCAAAGAGGCCAGCCAGGGCATGGTAAATGCCCGCTCTCCCTGGGTCGGCCTGCTCCTTTTCCTCTGCTTCCTCGGGACCGTGGACCCGGCTCCTGCCCCTAATGCCCAGCCTCAGCTGCCACCCTCCCTGGCTCTTGGACTTGGCTCCAACCCACGGCCACTCGAGCACCGGCCTGATTTGCATATCCTTCAGAGCCTTGATTAGGTCCCTGACTGCTCTTTCCTGCTCTGGGCTGATTGCAAAGTGGCCTGGACTCCTTCAAACAGCAAACAAACCCCAGTGCAGGCGAAGCCTATGCCCACCGGACATGAGGGACCCAGGATCCTGCTGGCCCAGAACGCTAGGGCTTCTGCAGAGACCCAGCTGCTTCTCTACCCCACTGCCCAGAGCCCTTTCTAGGTACCCTTTTCTTCTGTTTTTTGTTTTGTTTTGTTTTGTTTCTATTTTTGATTTCTTGAGACCCGGTCTTGCTATATAGCCCAGGCTGGCCTCAAACTCACAGCGATCCTCCTGCCTCAGCCACCCAAGTGCTGGGGTCATGGGTGTGGGCCACCACATCCGGCTTTGGGGCTGCTGTTGAGTGGCTGCACCCTCTTTGCGCAGGACATGGAAGCTCTGGGTGCAGGCTTGGAGGCAGCATCCTCTCCACTCGCAGATGGAAAGGGATGCGGGGAAGGCACGTGACCGGCGGGAAGGCACGTGACCGGCGCGAGGGCACCTGCTGCGTCTGCAGCCCAGCCACTGCTGTTCGAAGTCAGCACAGTGAGACGCCAGCGACACCTTTAATGAGCACAGCTCGATGCTCGGTTGAAAGCAGGCGAAGCCTGGCGCTGGGGCCAAGGACGAGGACGAGGCTGGCAAAAGCAGAGCCGCGGCAAGTGGCTGGACTCGGGGCTGGATATCCTTGCGGAGGACAGAGCTGGAGAAGTGGGCCCTGCACCCCTCTGCTGCTCCCGACGGTGAGATCCCCACGTCGGGGCGCCGGGGCTCCTGGTACGAGGGCGGCTGGGCTCCCTGGCCTCCCTCCCAGCCTCTGGCAGCCCTCCCCGCCCTCCCATTGCCCTCACTTCCTTCTCTCCAGGGCTTGAGGCTTCAAATGCTACAGGGCGGCAGCTCTGTCTTTCATCTCTGGCTGAGCCTCTCTCCCGGCCGCGTCTGCCCAGCCCAGGGATTGTAGGGCAGATTCCCAGAGACCGGAGCAATTTCTAGAGAAAATGCATGGGCTCCATCGCAAGGGTGCCGAGTTTTTCTTTTGCTGGCGAAGAATGTGAACAGAACGACACAAACCCACAGCGTGGGAAATCCCTCCATCGACTTCATGCGATACATCACAGCTCAAATCCCCACGAAGGGATGGACGTCCTCGTAGAAGGAAGGGACAATCTGCCCCTGAAGAGAATGTCTACGTCCTCACCCTGTCTCAGCCTAGCGCCAGGCCTTGGTTCCTGGAGGACGACGGGGACATCCGGTCCAGGGCACTGTAGAGGTCAGGACCTGGCAAATATTTTAAACAAACCGAGGAATTTCACGCATCTTGAGACAGCCCTCTGTGGGGCTCAGGGCCCCGCCTCAGGCCTCAAGACTGATGTTTCCACTCTACCTTGCACTGGGCTACAAACGACAGAAAACCCCAAACAGCAAACAGGAAGTGCCTTTCGCCAAGTGCTCCATGTCAGGAGAGCTTTGGCAGCCTTGGTACAAGAGTTCCTGAGCACACAGTCACCCCGACTTCACGCTCCACAAGTCTGAGCTTTTGTCCTCATAGTGCTACGGTGGCTGCCCCCATGTTGTCATTACATCCATGTTCCAGGCAGAAAGAAAGAGTGGGTAAGATAATTATATTTTCCTTGAAATCTTTGCTTTTTAATTCAGGAAAGAAAACCTTCCTCAGGGACCTTCTGCTTTCATTTCATTGGCCAGAGCTGGGTCACATGCCCACCTTAGCTGCAGGGGAAGCTGGGAAATTGAGTTTTTAAGTTTCTCTGGAGTCTGTGATAGAGGGAGGCAGCATGTAAACTAAAGTGTTGGTGTTTACTAGGAATGCAAATGTATCTAGCTCTCCTGCATTTTTGTTAAATCTGGCCATCCAACAGCAGGAGCCTCCGTGTAAGGGAGGGTACTCCGGAGAGAACAGGGAGGGACTAAAAATACCGCGCTGGGTGGTCTTGGGAGTGTCCATCCCGTCCCTCTCTGGATTCCAGGGTCCGCGTTCTCAGAGGGGGTCACTGTCTCTGGAGGTCCCCATGCCCAGCGTGCAGTGTTGGCGCCCCAGGGATGAAGCCTGGTGTAGCTTTGCCTCGAAGACTCGCTGACCGGGACGGCACCACCGCACCATGAACGCCGCCTTCTCGGGTCTGAGCCTCAGGGAGCGGAAGTGGGTGTGTTTCTAGGTCAGTTGGGCCCTTGAGTATGGTTTCCCCCGCATCATTTTGCATGCTGTGCTGGGTTAACTAATGGACAGCTTGGAACGCCCAGCTGAACTGAGTCAGCATGATTTTGAGCGTGGAGGGCCCACCCGGGGATCGCTGCCAACAGCATAAAAGAACTGGAGGGGAAGATGGTGCTGTGGATTCTCCTGGAGAAGCTTGAAGCGCTGGCTTTCCTGATACGAACCTGGCTGTTCTCATCCTTGGAGGAGCTCGGGTCCTCACTGTGGCTGAGGATGGCTGCAGTTCTCTTCAGGGGAGCTCTGGTCCTTACCTTGAGCGTCACTTCCTGGCTCCAGTGCAGGTCCCTCAGGCTGCTGTCACAGACCCTTCATCCGGCTGGTGCAGACTTTCTAGCTTCCGCCACGGATCTTTGGGCCTTCCCAGCGCAGATCCTTGACACAGACTTGCATGAGACATTGGCGTGGGCTCTAGGCCTCCAGCTGGACTCGTGCAGGACATTGCCATGGGATCCAGGCCCTCAGCTGAATTCTTTGGATTTCTGGTGTGTGGACAGATCTCCTGCACTCTTCTGCATTTGACTTTTTGGGTGAATATTATAAAATAATCCTATACATTATGTGTCCTGATCTATTCCTCTCTAAACCCTGACTACAATGTCAAAGACAAATAGCAGGCTGCATGCAGGCAGAGCACGTGGTTAGCATTTCAGGGCCTCCTTCTGCCCCAGCACCAAAACCAAACCAACACACTGAGTGTGGTAGCTACATCTGTCACCCCAGCACTTTGGAAGGCTGAGGCAGGAGAATCCCAAGTTCAAGCCCAGCCTGGGCAACTTAGTGACTTAGCAAAACCCTGTCTTAAAATGAAAGATAAGAAAGGCTGAGGATGGAACTCAGCGCGAAGCCCGGCTTCATCCTCCGTCCTGTGAATAAGCAAAACCGCTGCCCTAGGGTGCCTGGCTGCACCCTGCGGTTCCGGGAGGCCTCCGCGGTGCCCCCTACAGAGGTTGCCCGGGAAGACCGTCCCTGCTTTCCTCCTGCATGGGGGGCAACTGGTGACATGCCGCTGATGGGCACCCGAGGCTTTGCTTGCGCACCCCAGGCTCCCAGGAGCTGAGCTTCGCTGCCCTGGCTGCAGAGACCCGCCCCCCCGCGCAGCTCGCACCTGTCCCTCTGCCGCCCAGCGTTAGAGAGGAGGCTCTCAGGACCCTGACTCCTTTCCGTTCCGGTGCCTGCCCTGCAGGGGGAGCGGGAGGGGAGTGCCGCGGCCTTAGCTCCTCCCGCCCTTTCCTCAGCACAGGTGCGGCTGAATCTGAGTAGGAAGGGGACACTGAGGCAGCTCGGTGTGGGAGTCCTTAGTCAGGGGAGAGTGAGCTGGGCTCGGGCTGCAGGGAGCCTGCCACCCCACCTCAGGAAGGGGCCCAGGCTCTGCGCGGGGCGCCCCTCCCGCTCTGCAGCCATCCCTAGCCTCCTTCCTGAGAGAAGGGCCTGTGTGTGCACCGATGTGCGTGCGTGTGCAAATGTGCGTGTGT